TGTCAGTGAAGATACCAGCCTAGGACGTAACTACCCACCTTAACTGCTTTTAGGTAAAGTTAAATTTCAGACCATCCTTTGTGGTTACTTTAGGTCTCCAAGTTTGCAAGACTGCCATGCAGGCCTCCCCTGAGCTTGTCAGGTTAGCATGTGGCCCCTTTCGTCCACAGGGGCATGCAGAAGGGAGCTGATCAATGATTCTCTCTCATCACTGCTGTTTCTATCTCTCCCTCTACCTTCCTCTCTCTGAAATCAATAAAAACATATATATTTTTAAAAATCAGCCTAATTATTATGGTCATATTGACAAGCTCTCCCTAGAAGAGTGATTTACAGCCTTTATTCTGCTCAAGCCCTATTTTTTCTCACAGCACACTCCCAATCAGTAGCATCTCTCATCACACAATGCTGCAATTCTCATGGGGGACCTTTGGGAGGTGGAGAGCTTGAAAAGTCTCCTTGAGGGTTCCAACTCCCCACCATAAAGGATCACTGCACTAGAATAAAATACAAAGTTGCTAATAACAATCTAAGTCAGCAGAGAACATATCATCCTACCAAAATAGCCTAGTTTTAAATAGGCATTGACTACGTTCCAGGATGATCCAAAAGCTCAGAGCACAACTCATTGTTGTATAGTTATTCATTCCCTGTAAAGAATCGCTTTATTCTTTCAGAAGAAAGCCAAGTCTAGTTAGGAGAAAGGGAAAACTTTCTTGTCAATCAACTAATCGACAATTTTTATGCCTATTGTATATGCATCAATGTACTAAGCAACATGTAGAAAATGCATCCTTTTATAGCAACTGGATAGAAAAGATCAGAACATATTTTAAAAACAACATAAAATTATAACATTAATGTTAAATGATGAAAGACTAATTATAAAACCATCTGAGGTGGTTTTAAGAAAATTGAACCGGCAGCCTTCTCAACCCAAGGCAATCATTGCCTTGATGGGCAATAAGAGTTCAGTGCTACCAAGTCCACTGATTTATTTTTTCAAGAAAACCCAATAATGCCCTAACTGGCTTGGCTCAGTGGATAGAGCGTCAGCCTACGGATTGAAAGGTCCCAGGTTCGATTCTGGTCAAGGGCATGTACCTTGGCTGCGGGCATATCCCCAGTAGGGGGTGTGCAGGAGGAAGCTGATCAATGGTTCTCTCTCATTGATGTTTCTAACTCTCTATCCCTCTCCCCTCCTCTCTGTAAAAAATCAATAAAATACCTTTAAAAAAAAAGAAAACCCAATAATATCTCCAAACTTTTAAATGAGGACTCAACATTCTTTAACTGTATCACTTAGGCCAAATAAAACACAACTCTTGGCCTGATATGGATACCAGTTTATCACCTTTGGGATAGAGTCTAATAAACTCTTACTACATTCAAATTAGACCAGTGTCTGTTTGGTTCACTATGTCAATTCAAATCAACTCCACCCAAGAAGTGAAAGAACTAGGAGTGAGCCAGGCTCCACCCAACACACTTGTCACATGTGTGCATGGAAGGTCATGTGAAGAGTCCTTGAATGCAGATTGGTGCAGCCACTGTGCAAAGCAGTATGCAGTTACCTAAAAAAATTAAAAATGGAACTGCCTTATGACCCAGTGATTCTACTGCTGGGAATATATCCAAAGAAACCCGAAACACTAATTCGAAAGACTGTATGTACTCCTATGTTCACTGCAGTGTTATTTACAATAGCCAAGATTTGAAAGCAGCCCAAGTATCCATCAGTAGCTGAGTGGATAAAAAGATGGGTACATTTACACAATGAAATACTACTTTGGCTGTTAAAAATAAGGAAATCTTACCCTTTGAGACAGTGTGGATTGACCTGGAGAGCATTTTGCTAAGTGAAATAAGTCAGTCAGAGAAAGACAAATACCATATGATTTTACTCATATGCAGAATCTAATGAACAAAATAAATTAACAAACAAAATAAAAACAGACTCATAGATAAAGAACAGACTGACAGGTGTGGGGGGCAAGGTTTGGGGGGCTGGGTGACAAAGGAGAAGGAATTAAGGGGGAAAAAACAACTCATAGACACAGGCAACAGTATGGTGATTCTCAGAGGGAAAGGGAAGTCGGGGGAGGTAGAAGAAAGTCATCCCAATAAATTCAATTGAAAAATAAAATAAAAAATTTCCCTTCTATAGATTTTAGAAGTAACTTTATTTTTCTTTTGTTAATCCTGAGAGAGAGAGAGGGGAGGGGGGTAGAGAAAGGAGAGAGAGAGAGAGATGAGACACAGTATTGGTTGCCTCCCACATGCACCCCCCCACCAGGCCGGGGGATTGAACCTGCAACTCAGGTACATGCCCTTGACTGGGAATGGAAACCATGACCCTTCATTGCACAGGCCGATGCTCTAACCACTGAGCCATGCTGGCCAGGGCAGAAGTAACTTTCTTAAGAATCTCAGCTGCATACATTTTTAACTACTACATAATTAAAAATTTCCCTTATAATAACATTTAAGGTTATACATAAAAAGATGTTCCTCTGAAAGCTGATACCAGTTTTCATTTCAATTTTCCCCCGTATATTTTTCTCATAAGTATAAAATATGATTTCTCTTTTACTTTTTTCAAGAAGATCTGGAAAGGCTGGTCTTTAAACTAAGGTCATTCATAATTTCAAGTTGAACACCTTCTACACAGAAAATTCATCTCTTAAAGATACCTGATGGACTTTAGACAACTGTGTTAGAAAATCCTTTTGTTGTGGAATGTGGAATTTATGAAACCGGCACGGAAGTGACAGTCAGACACTGAGGTTCAGGAAAGAGCCTTTAATTAAAGCAGCACTGCTAGTTCAGGGGACTCTAAGATCCAGATCCTGAACCGCCTGGACAATGAGATTTTCTTTCTATATATTAAAGGGGTTAAAAAGAACCAAACAGGGCAGAGACAGATTTATTGTGCTTAGCAGATATCTTATAGAAAGCTTGCAGCCTTGAGCACAGCATAGCTCAGATACCCAGGAGACACCTGGCATGGGAGGAACTAAGGACCACCAGACCAGTCTCCCCATTCTTTCACAAATGGAGTTAATTATCAGCTAGCAAGAGAGTGCAGTAGGAAGCAGGTTACTGGGACTAATTCAGATTGCTAGCCCCCCGAAAATGTCTCATTTTCCCTGTCTCTTTCTTATAATGATCTGAATCAAAAACCAGGGCTCAATAATTCCCAAATCAGTGTTCTTTTCATTCTGTTAAATTTCGGTTTGAATGAGGTCTTTAGATATCCTAGTAACAATATAAATACAAACAAATGCAAAATAAACTGCAAAAGATTTCTAGTAGATCCTATAAAAATGATTGAAATATTTACTTTTTTCCCTTTTCTATTGAGACAATATTTACTTTTAGAAGCATTGTTTTTATTGCAGCAAGATGTATTATAGACTTATTTTAAATAATATATTTTAAAAATCCCTTTGTGGTGGTTACCTTCCCTTTAATCTACAATTTGTATTAGAAAAATAAATTTAGGGGACTCATCACTTGCTCACTAATAGTGTTACAATTTACGTGGAAAATTGAGTCAAGAATGAAACTTTTTTTTCCCAAACTGATTTTGCATTAAGCATTACTTTTTATTTGGCACCTTCTACAACCCTATGAGAATAAATTATTATTCCATTTTTATTATAAGGTAATCATGTACAACATATACAAGCTTACATAAATTCAAATAGCTTGATATCCCTATCTTTTCACATCTAGCCTATAAATTCTTATTTGAATAGTCAAGTAGGAAGGAATATGGATTCAGATATGCCTCAAAATACATTTCTTATTGGTCTTATCATTTTACCTGATCATAAAGCTACTGAGCGAGCCTTGGTGTCATCTGTATAATGTGAGTAATACTTACACAGCCTTATGATGACTGAGTAAAATAATATGGATCAAGGAAGTAATACTATGTCAAGCATAATAAATGTTAATTCCTCACCCCCTCCTCCAGATGATGCAAATTCAGGAACTTAAGGTATAGGGGATATTTATCCATTAGACACAAAAATGTTTGAAGATTACAAAAAAGCACACACCCTTTAATTAAATGCCTACACAATGCAATATTATACCAATTTATGCTTTAATATAATTTTCTAAATATGCCATCATCTTGAAAACTTTTTTACTTCATTTTTTTCAATAATTTCTAAGCCTATACCCAACCAATAACTATCAAGAAATCATAACCCACCGTGAATTGAATGTTACACCCAGGCAAATAATATCAAAGGCAATTGCAGGACAGGAAGAAAAAAAGTGTATTCACTGTCTAAAGTGCATGGATTTAAATATATTCTATTCTTTTTGTTGTGCAGTGAAGCCCTTCTCTGCCCCACCCTTTAAAATAAGATTCTTAGTGTCTGAAGGTCTTAAGAAGTCAGAGAATGCAAAGCGGGGAGTGCAAAAACTTTCTGAATATGACCAAGACACAGGAACGTTTCCTGCTCCCTGATCCTCAAAACACGTCTCCTGCAACCACAGGGAAATCAAAACTCATTTACTGTATATGCCATTCTCGGCACTTGTCCCGTTTGTGTCTCCGAAGCTTAAGAATTTTCTCCTTCTCCAAGGCCCGCAGCTAAGGCGAGCACACGCTGGCGGGGTGGGGACAACCACTCCCTGAGGTCCAACATTGTTTCACAGACAACACCCACCCGAATCTAGAGACCCCCCGACTCCTCCCCCGTCCGCCTCGCCCCAAGATTCACATTTGCGTAAAGCAAGTTAAGAGAAACTAGAACGCTGCCCCCGCCTCCCCTAGTCGCCCCCCTCCCCCCGTTGCCTGGTCCCCACGCCCGGCTGCCACGCAGCCAGTCCGCCTGCCCTTCTTTGGGCTGCCGGCTTCACTACTCAGTAATACGCATGTGCCAAACTCTGCCTCCCGGCCATCCCTCAGCCGGCAGGGGCGGGGCTATGGGCGGGACCACGTTTCTTGCGCACGCTCGGAACATGCGCAGTGCAGGGGCTGAGGCGCCAGACGTCGACTTGGAAGTTCCGGGGAGGCAGCGCATGCGCTAGCGTACGCGTTGCCGGCGAAGAGGGGAGCCTCAGGACTCGGAAATTTGAATACCACTAGCATGGAGTGCGACCTCATGGAGACTGACATCTTGGAGTCGCTGGAAGACCTGGGGTAAGAGTCCCAGAGCACGGTCTCCCGGTCCCCACACGGCCGGTCCCCGGGGCACACCTCCGGAGTCCCAGACGGAGACACCTGGCTCTCCACGCCGCACCCCGCGGCGCCTGGCTGTCGCCTCCCCTCAGGCTCCGGGACCCCAATGCCACGTCCGCTGTCTCTGCCCAACTCGCTCGGGGCCCTCCGCCTGCGACGCCCCGAGGCCTGCCCGGTGCTCCTTGCAGCCGAGGTCCCCGCGCTGTTTGCCGGTCTAGCGTGTCATTGTCTGGGCACCGGTTCTCGCCCACCCCCTCTCGGAGCGCCTCTCCCGGCTCCCCATCCTCCGGCGGGACCCCCTCACTTCAGAGGTGGCCAAAGTTGATTCTCGGATTTCCTCCCTGTCCTCCGAACTCCCCGTCCTGAGCCCCCGCGCCTACCCCACCCCGCTGGTCTCAGGACATCTTTGCTCAGTCATCTCTGCAGGCACCAGGCTTCTCGGAGCCACATGTCTGCGCGCCGCGTCCGTGCCGCTCGCTCGCGGTGCCCCTCACCTGCCGCCACCTCCGTGGGAACCGCGGGCAGTTCCTCCCGCGTCTGACACGCCTCGGAGCCACTGCTCGCCCTGACTTACCCTCGGGGTCGTCTGCACGCACCAGATCCCTACCCGTTTGTGGTGTCCATTGTCTCCCCTCCTGACAGCTAGCTAACCTGTAGTCGGCTCACCTAGAAGTGGGAAATGAGGCTGCTTATCTCCCTGGTTACCCAGGTCAGAAGACTCTGTTAAGACCTGAAAACTCAGAACCTTGGGGTCACTGTGGTTTCAGAAACAAATCGTATGATTCAATATTTGGCTAGAGGTACAATGTTAATTTTTTTTTTTTACAGATTTAGGTAGCTGTATTTATAAAGAAACAGGTTCTTTATCAAAACCTCCCCCTGGGCTTTTGGATCACGTGGAAACCTTTGAGGGGAAACTGTGTTCTCCTTGAAGAAAGGACCCTGTGCGGGTTCCCAAAGTCTGTCCACTTGAGTAAACTTGCTGTCCCGGTAGAAATTTTTCGGAAAGGAAGTGGCAGTGCTGATGGCCTTTGTCCAAGTGGATGACCACTGTTTTTTTTTTTTTTTTTTTATAATGAATATTCCAAACTTTAGGGGGCTTATTTCTTTGAATAGGGTAGACGTAAAAGTGGTGCAGCAAAATGGGCTGTTTCGGTAGACATCTCACACGAAATTGCATGCTCACACCTGAAGCCATTCATTCAGTGGACAGTTTTTGAGGAACACTTGTTCCGGGCAGTGTTGGGCTGCACAGGGATGGTACCGAGCGAGTTGGAAGAGCAGTGCACACCACCCGGATATGCTGTTTGGAGGTGTGAGGAGGGTCCCTTTGCTGCCAAAGGAAATCAGGTCCTAGGACAGTGATGGCAAACCTTTTGAGCTCGGCGTGTCGGCATTTTGAAAAACCCTAACTTAACTCTGGTGCCGTGCCACATATAGAAATTTTTTGATATTTGCAACCATAGTAAAATAAAGACTTATATTTTTGATATTTATTTTATAGATTTAAATGCCATTTAACAAAGAAAAATCAACCAAAAAAATGAGTTCGCGTGTCGCCTTTGACACGCGTGTCATAGGTTCGCCATCACTGTAGGAGCTTCTAAGAAGCGACCCTTAAGAGTAGTGTTGGAAGCTGTGGGATGAGAGGACGAGGTAGACCTTCTTCAAATGCAGTCATTCTGCACGGGAAGGGGTCACCTAACAGTGGGTGATGGGTGATGTTTCTTCCCATTATTGTTCTCTTACCTTCTTTTAACTGTGCTCTTGGGGACTCTCAAAGTAGTCATTGTAACCACGTTACTTAGTTAGGATGGGTTGTAATGTAAGCCGTGGGATTTCCTGAAAACTTGGCTAGAAATGTTAACCATAACTACTTAGTTTGGTGGCATTCGATCATTAAAATTTAGTCTTCACTGATGGGTGTGTACTCTTAAAGGATTCACTGAGGAATGCTAGAATTAAATGACTATCTTTTATCTCTAATTTGGCACACAGTAGGAATTCAGTAACTCTACTTGTAAAATAAAAGAGCAAAATCTAAAAGTGGAACACAAGGAGAAGTTTCTAGGCCTCGTCTCTTTACTCCAGTATCTAATGTGTGCTTTTAAATCTAGATGCCAGAGATCTATAACCTCATTTTGTGTAACACTTTTTCCATTCCATTCAATGTATACACATATACACTGAGTGGCCAGATTATTATGACCGGCCAGATTATTATGACCACCCCATCAGTACTTAACTGACACTTCCAAAAATACTGAATATTGAAAACTTCCTAAGCAGATACTCTCAAGGTTTTATTATTATTATTCGCATAACTAATTCACTTCATTGTACTGATGGGGTGTTCATAATAATCTGGCCACTCAGTGTAATTGTATTTTAAAAGGATCAAGTATCATAATTACTCTAACATTTCTATACCACTAAACATCAAATTATCTTAAGCATACTTAATATATTATTTTTATTAATATTTTCTTTACGAAAAAATAAAGTAATCTTCTGAAGAATATATATTTTAAAATTCCTTTGAGAATGACAAAATCTTTCATTATAGCTATATCCTAGATTGGGGTTCATTATTACTATTGCCTTTTATGAATGTTTGAACATTAAGTAATTTTTTAAAATTACATTTGAATCACTTGCAAAGGATTAGGTTTCACTTGTACCAGTTCACCCAAACAATAACTCACCAGCAATTATTAAATTAAACTTGACATTTCTCTGGTACTAGCAGGTCTTACTGGTCTTAACCGTCATTAAATATAGAAAAAGGAAATAAATGATTAATTGGAAAGTTTTGCTTTTAAAGAAAGTCATTAAAACCCTAACCTAATTGATTTCTGGAAAAATCTCAAGAAAAAATAACCTAAGTTTTATTTCTAAACTAGCAAAATATAGTATAATTAGCTATCACTTATTAATCTGGTTTTAATACTCAGTTCAGTTAGAGTAAGAAAATAAATCTTTATACAGTAAGAGCTTTCAGTTAGTGTGTAGAAGTAGACATAAATATTCACCTATATTTTGAAGGGATGAAATGCAGTTAACATTTAGCTTATTTTTCTAATGATTTAGTATAGTTCAGATTTTTATATTTGTAAGTTTAGAAACTGGTCATCATAAGATCTTTTTTAAACTATCAATTCTAGAAATAATACATAAATAGTGTATATTGCGTCTGTAATATATTAGGTGTGATTCTATATTCTTATGAAGTGTGATTTCTTAACTCACCAGTTACAAGGGTCCATTGTTAGAAGATGGCGCTCTGTCTCAGGCGGTCTCTGCTGGAGCCAGTTCCCCTGAGTTTACCAAACTCTGTGCTTGGCTGGTGTCTGAATTAAGAGTGCTCTGTAAACTGGAAGAAAATGTGCAAGCAACTAACAGTAAGTAAATATCAGTTCTAGGTGCAAAATATAAAAAATAAAATTTGGGTATTGTCAATTGAACATTATCAATACTAAAGCTAAAATTTCAAGTTCTTTGTAAATATAAAAAAAAAATTTTGTAAAGCAACAGAATACTCTGCCTCCATTGTTTTTAGAGAAAAATGATTCAGAAGTTGAAAAAAACCAAAATATAGTCATTCAAATGTTATGGAAAGTGAAAAGACCCTATTACTAAGATATAGAAAAATGGAGAGAAATATAGCATATGTGAACTTTTCATTCTCTGTAAAACTTGACTTGTGAGATCGTAAATTGGTGGCTAGCACTAGAAATTGGGATATTTTTCTTTTTGTACTACCAGATTCTACAAGTACATATGTAAAGTAAATGCTCTGTAATTAATATATGTAGGGAGAAAGAGAACGCTTTATTAAGTTTTCTGTATAAGAATGTATCACTAGCTTTATCAAAATCAAATCCAACAGCATCAGATTTATAGCATTGAGAGCTGTTTTATATTGGCCAATTTTGTTATGGTTTTAGCAATAACAACTACTGTTTTGTTGATTCTGCAAAAGAGCTGTCCAAAGGCTTAGAACCTGAGACTCCACCATCTGGTTTCCCTCCTACCATAGGTAAACCTATAATATAATAGACAAAAGAAAAATGCCCACCTACTAATCCACTCTTATAGAGAACTATACACATAATCCCATTTTCTTTTTCACAGAATTCCGTTGTGAAGAGCTCACTCTTTTATGTTTAATATATTTAATTTGTACATATTAATTGCACTTAACTCTAATTAAGAAAAAATTTTCCCTTCATTGATTTTGAGAGAGAGGAAGGGAGAGGGATAGAGAGATAGAAAGAGGGTTGAGAGAGAAACATCATCAATCCGCTGCCTCCTGCCTGCCTCCCTACTGGGAATTGAGCCCATAACCTGGGCATATGCCCTGACTGGGAATCAAACCAGTGACCTCCTGGTTCATGGGTCAACGTTCAACCGCTGGGCCCAAAACCGAGTGGGCCCAATTCTAATTTTTAAGGAGAGTATAGTACAATAGTAATGATAGCAGCAGCTTACATTTATTGATTACTTGTATTAACTCATTTTAACCTCAGGGCAGTCCTAGGTTTTATTACTCTTTTATACATTAAACAAGGAAACACATGAGGTTAAATAACATCACCTAAGGCAGTGATGGCGAACCTATGACACGCGTGTCAGAGGTGACACGCGAACTCATTTTTTTTGGTTGATTTTTCTTTGTTAAATGGCATTTAAATATATAAAATAAATATCAAAAATATAAGTCTTTGTTTTACTATGGTTGCAAATATCAAAAAATTTCTATATGTGACACGGCACCAGAGTAAAGTTGGGGTTTTTCAAAATGCTGACACACCGAGCTCAAAAGGTTCACCATCACTGACCTAAGGTCACACAACCAGTAAGTGATAAAGCCAGGATTCAATCCCAGCAGTCAAATTTGGGAGCCATTACTCTTAACATTGCCTCTTAACCTAACATTTCAGAGATTGTAAGAACTTCTAAACAAACACCTGTGCTATATGGTAACTATTTATAACGCGGATCCCCTTTGTTTATATGAAAACACTTTATAGAAGCCAACACATAAAACAGGTAAAGTGTAGCTGTTGTAGTTGAAGTTGAGAGGGAGTACTTGTAGCACAACTCTCTCCCAGCTGCCTCTAAGGAAGTCTGTGCAACTCTGGACCTCACAGAACACAGTTTGCAAAACAATTGATAATACAGTCTTCCCATTTTATAGATGAGAAAAAGGTCTCAGGTCAAGTGACTCTCACAGTTGTTAATTTTTTCCCCACTGTGATATTGAATAGAGAGCCATCAAAATAGTAAAGAATAAAGAGCATTGTTTTTCCTTGGTTCACCCAGTATACTCTATACTTTGCATGTTATAGGAATACAGAACTACAAGTCATGTTTACGACCTTCACACTTAGTCTAGAAACTAGAAATATCTGGCACAATTGAAACAACTGGATATTAGTAGTAATTACATGCTTCACTTTGTGGTTCACGGTGGGAGGAAATCAGTTAGTGCTCTAGTACCTGGGTAAAGTTTCATCAAGGAGCAAGACCACTGGACTTTGATGGAATAACTGAAATGAAGGCACAGATGTGGAAATTAGACTGACCTGTGGCATTGAGGAGACTAGCCTGGCACAAGTAGAGGAAATATTTGTGGAAGTAGTAGGTAACTATTACAAACATAATCTGGGAAGGGCAAAGTAGAGAGGCTATGCTTTAAAGACAGAAAAATTTGGCCTAGCCGGTTTGGCTCAGTGGATAGAGCGTCAGCTTGTGGACTGAAGGGTCCTGGGTTCGATTCCAGTCAGGGCACGTTACCTCGGTTGCAGGCTCCTCCCCACCCTCGTGCCCTGGTTGGGCTCATTCAGGAGGCAACCAATTGATGTGTTTCTCTCACATAGATGTTTCTCTGTCTTTTCCGCTCTCTTCCACTCTGTCTAAAAATCAATGGAAAATATCCTCGGGTGAGGATTAAAACAAAGAAAGAAAAAGTCGATTAGATGAGGTAGAGATTAGCCATTAAAGGTTCTCAAATAAGGGAATAACCTAATGAAAGTATTTAAGGAAGAAATTGTCAGTGGCGTGAGAAAGGATGAATTAGAAGAAAAAGGAACTTTTGTTAGAAAAATCTTATTAAGAATTTCAATTTATATATGTGTATGCTAATGGGAAAAACATTTTTATTAAATAAGATGATTTAATTCTTCAAAGGCCCGAATGAAGCTGAAGAATTCCAACTTGAGGTGAGTGGGCTACTAGGGGAGATGAACTGTCCATACCCTTCACTGACTTCTGGGGATGTGACCAAGCGCCTTCTCGTTCAGAAGAACTGCCTCCTTTTGCTCAGTAAGTTCATGGCTACTAGAATGTAGCTATTATTTTTTGTTTATGTTTTCCAAGACTAATAAACTAGTTGTTACTGTTTTGTTTTATTGTGGATTTAATTCAGAATACTTATTTTAAAGAAACCCTGATTAAATTTCCAGCTTAGAAGCTATTGGGTCTGTGCGCTGGTAGCAGAGTTGTTTTGTAATTGCTACTCATTTATCGTTGTGCTTCACCTACTGTGACCAAAGGTAGTGCTGGAGTGTTGTTCAATGTGTGATCATTAAACCTTAGCGTTCTAGACTGGAAGCACATTTTAAAATAGACTGGGAAAACAGTGTGAGAATAATGAAGTTTTTTGTTTTTTAAATTAAAATATTTTCTTGTTGATGTTTCTTTGTTGTTGAGTAATTGGTTAAGGGTGTTGGTTTTGTTTGTAAATGTAAAATTTTCTGCAATAATATTTGCTTTGTTCCTGTACTTACCCATCATTGAGGGAAATAAATTATTATAAAAAGTTCTTTCCTTCCATGTTTTGTCTATACTAACTACTATTTCTCTCTTCACCCTGAAAAACAGTAAGTAGACTCACAAATTTTGCTGTCTTAAACTCTCCAATAAATTCAGTGAATAGTATTAACTCAGAATTGTTGTAGCATTCTGAGACACATTTAGATTAAGCTTCGGTTAGCTGAGTAGTACAGTTCTTATTATGACGAACACAAATAAGAGTATTTTTAAAATATTTGTCTTTACAACTGTACTATGTTTTCTAGAAAATGCTATAACTCTAATTTTGAAGGTACAATTTAAAAAAAAGTGTTCATAGCCATTATACTGAACACTAATTATTCCAGAGTCACTTTTTTTAAAAAAAAAATATGGAATGTTTCATGAATTTGCATGTCATCCTTGCACAGGAGCCATGCTAATCCCCGTATTGTTCCAGTTTTAGTATATGTGCTGCCAAAGTGAGCATCAGAATTACTTTCTTAACTTCCCCTTTGCCAAATGATTGTTACTGGGGGATATGCCCTTAAGATTAGATACTGCTTTAGGTACTGATACTGCTGCAGTAGTTCTGTGCATGCATGCAGTAATCTTCAAATCATATAGTTTCTGTAACTGGCTCAGCCACAGTGTGCTCAGTGATTCTTTGGCAGCACTGTTTATCGTTACCAACACCTAATATTTGGCACTTAGAACATGTTATCTTACATAGCAGGACAACAGCTGTGTGGAAAGGTTAGTAATAACCCTGAGTAGCTAATTCTTTCAAAGAGCTCAGAGTTTGGCCTTTTTAGTGCTGATATTTATGAAAACCACTTTGAATATAAATCTTTATAAAATACCTTTAACTCTTTCCTCTTTCTTAAGCAGACTGCACAGAACATGATCATTTTGGGTCAATATTAATAGACTGTTTTAATGTGCTATCACCTCAAAAGCTTTTCAAGAATATGCAATTATTTGCTCAACTGAATGACTGAGTCAGCTAAAGTTTACTCTGCTCTTTGTGTTCTTCACACATACACACTACTCACCTCCCTCCTTATCTTTGCTTTCCTGTTTCCCCTTTTCTGAAATATTCCCCTCAGTTTGTTTTCTCTGTCATGCTAATGTTTATGTACATGTACTCATTCTCTACTTGCTCCGTATGAATATTTTGTGTCTTTCCCAAGTATCAGTTGTCACATGTTGATGCTATAATTTGATTTACTTCTTCCAGCACCCTTTCCTTACTGATTTGAATCTTTGAATATATTGTGTTTTGAGGGGTAAAAAATAAACTAACCTCATTGGAATTGTTAGTAAAATAAAATAGTCTCCGAATGAGTGGCTAAAAAACTCTCCTGTGTCAGATTAAGAACTATTTTAACTGTTCGTTGGCCTTTCTGGTTGTCAGAACATTTCCCTTAGGTAAAATAAGTCATTTCTAAGTTTCTAATAGATGAAAAACTATTCATCTTTTTTATGCATTTATTCTTTATTCCTCACTAGATTGTCAGTAGAGGTAATCTTTTTTGTTTGTTTTGCATTAAATATCCAGTCAGTGCCTTTCCTAGTACTTTGAACACACCAGCTACAGTTAATGCTTTTTGATGGTAATTGTATTGGGGAACTAATTTCGTGAATACCTGTGCTACTTTGTCCTAAATTTAGAGAACAAATTTATTAAATCATATAACATGATTTTCTAGAACAAGGGTTGGCAAACTCTTTCTTAAAGGTCCAGGTAATAAGCATTTTCAGCTTTGTGGACCAGAAAATCTCTGTCACAACTCTTAACTGTGCTGCTATATAGCGTGTAAGCAGCTGTAGGCGATACGAAACAGAGGAATGTGGCAGTGTTTCAAAAACACCTTATTTATAAAAATTGATTATTTTCATGACAGTGGGGAGTTTTATACTGTTTTGATCTTTTAACTCATTCAGTTTGCTGTATGGAACATGTTAAGATTTGATCAAACCCATTTAGAATTATCTTTCCAGAAACTCAGCTGTATATATTGTTCTAGAATAGGAGTTGGCAGCTTTTCAGAAATGATCTGCCAAAATTATGATCCCTCTACTTCTAGCATTACACCTTGGGTACAGGACATAAGATATTCAGGCTATCATTCCTCTGTCCTTCTAAACTTAAAAGCCCCCAAAATGGCTTTTTTTCAAAACCATTTTTCTCATATTATCAGGAGGTTCTCATTTGGTCACATTCCTGAAGTCCTGAAATCCACGATTACTAATCGTTTTATAAAAACGTAAATGTCCTTAGGAAGGTTAAAGGAATAAGATTGAATATTTGTATCTTCACCTTAATTACCTGAAGCAGATTGCAGCCCTCATTATCCATGACTGAAATCAACACACACGGGATGATACTGATACAAAAGGACTCTGCCAAGAAAGGATTTGAAACTTTTGTTGTTTTCACAGGAGGGGATGAGAATGAGGAGAGCAGGGGGAAGGGAATACTGAGAAGAATATAGATGGAAGAGGGGGGTTTATTTTGAACAGCCAGAACGTGACATTAGGCTACTGGACACCATTAGAAAGGAACTTTGGGGAGTTTGGTGCCTTCCCCCTTCTCCTGTACATTAAACTTTGATTACTTAAAAATGTTGTTTCACGCCAATTCTAAACAGACTTCCTAAGTAGTGTATGGTTAGAGGAACGTATAATTATACCAGAGGCCCATTGCACGACATTCGCCCTCTTGGACATCCACCCTCTTGCAGTCCGGGACCCCTCGGTGGACATCCCCTGAGGGGTCCTTAGCGCTGCCACTGCTGCGCTTGTCAGCTGTGAGCCTGGCAGCAGTGGCGGGAGCCCTCTCCGGCCTCCAAAACAGTGCTAAGGAGCATCAAGCCCTGGTTCTGGCTGAGCGGCGCTCCCCCTGTGGGAGCGCACTGACCACCAGGGGGCAGCTCCTGCGTTGAGCGTTTGCCCCCTAGTGGTCAGTGCGCGTTATAGTGACCGGTCGTTCCGCCGTTCAGTCACTTTGCATATTAGCCTTTTATTATATAGGATCACTGGTGCATGTCAGTGGTGAAAAGTAAAAAAATAACCTTTTTAATTGTCACTGAAAATTTGCCACCTGCCACCTTTTGCAAATTTGTCAACAGATGCCAACCCCTGTTCTGTAGATTCCTTAATAGTAGAATGCAAGAATCCAGATTTTTAGATGTCAGCTACCTTGATCCTTTGGTTTCAAAGAAGAATCACTTATTTTTAAATTAGCCTTTAAATATATATTGATTAAATACCTGTGTTACAGAATCAGTTTATATGCCATGTCACTTGAGGTAAATATGGTTTTCCTTTCTTGTTTTTATCCATTCTTGCAGCTTTAAAAGTTACATATCATTAGGTCTATAGAGTTGTGACTCCAGACTTATGACTATTAACTGTAGCTGTATCTCATTTTGAAATCTTATTTTGTTTACTTCAGCATACCTCATCTCAGAACTAGAAGCTGCCAGAATGCTCTGTGTGAATACTCCTCCAAAAAAAGCTCAAGAAGGAGGCGGTAGTGAGGTCTTTCAAGAGTTGAAAGGCATATGTATTGCTCTAGGAATGTCCAAACCTCCAGCCAATATAACTATGTTCCAATTCTTCAGCGGGATTGAAAAAAAAGTAAGACCTTTAGTACCAGATTGTAGTGTATTAAAGGCATAGTCCTACATTTGTTTGAAATGAAGCAAGTTAATTTCTCTTAATGGGAACCTAATGTGCATATTATTAAGTAATTGTTACTAAATGAGTTTTGGGTTTTAAATCCTAGATGCCTTAAAGAGAAATCAGTATTTCAGTGTGTTTTTTTAACATGTTAGCATGTTTCTTTTTCAAAAAGAAAACTTGACACTTGGATTTATAAGCTAAATATAATGTAAAAAGAATTAAGTCCTTTAAAAATTATTTTATAATTGAACTTTAATGCAATTAACTTTTAAAGTCTTTATCATTAAATGTTACCACCCTCCCCATTGACTAGACAGAAAAGGATGTTAATGTTCTTGTTTTTAATCCACTCACTTCGAGTCTTACAAAGTTTCAATTGGCGATTTAGATTTCTTGACTGCTAACATAATCTAGTACGTGAAAATAATTTATGCCACACATTATCAACCATGAAGGGGTTTTAAAAAATTAATGAATAAAAGAGGATGATATTTGTTATAGCAGAGTTACTCTCTGTATGCATATCTGTTGGACTCTAAGAATTGGTACATTAGCATTATGGGGCAGATGGACACCATGATGCACAAATCTGGCTGAACTCTACAGGGGAGCAGCAGTGTATCCATAGTCCCTATTTTTCTGTGTGTTCATTCATTCCTTCAGGAAATACCCATTCAGTGCCTGCCGTTGTCAGGCACTGTCGTAGGTGCAGTGAAGGAATCATGCTTCCATAGGCACGAGAGGAGTGGGCCAGCGAGTGTCTTTATTGTGTGGGTCTTGTACATTTCAAAACATCCTCCGCCTTTCCCTCTGTCAGGAATCTTCTTTTGATGGCAAGATATGATGGGACTTAGGAAGATGAGGAGGATATGTGTTACTTCTACGTTTGTTTATTCATTCATTTATGTTTTTTGTGTCAGTTAAAGGAAACATTAGCAAAAGTTCCACCTAATCATGTGGGAAAGCCTTTATTGAAGAAGTCATTGGGACCGGCCCACTGGGTGAGTAGCCATCATCTGTGGAGTAAATTTGCAAGGAATCATCCATCTATCCTATGACATTTATGTTGACTCTACAGTGGGTGCTTTTTAAGTTATTTTTTCTAATGTAGTTTCCTAGATGGACATTCTTAGAATCAGTTGTGAATCTTAAGATTTGTGCAGCAAATAATTTTAAGATTAGAGACACTTATAATTTGTAAATATTTCATACAGCTGATTAAAATGAATAGAAGTTCAGTATGATGCATGTTTCTAATTGCCAAATGGGTTGCCTTCAAGCCAAAAACTTCATTGGACTGAGCTTCACACAATGGATTATCGGAAAGCTAAATCATACTTTTGTACTGTACATATCTGTTATTATGTTTTGAGACATTATTTTGCATATCATTTTCTTAATTTATAACTTTTATTATATTTATTGAATAACTATTTTGTGCTAAGTGCTGGGATTCAGGTATGAATGAAACAGATAGTTTCTGCCCTTTTGAAACAAGGGTCAAGCAGGTTTAAATTCTAACTTCTTTTTTATTTTTATTATTATTTTTTTAAATTCTAACATCTTAAAAATGTTTTGTTTCAGGAAAAGATAGAAGCAATTAACCAAGCCATAGCCAATGAATATGAAGTTCGGAGAAAGCTGCTAATAAAACGTTTGGATGTCACTGTCCAGTCTTTTGGTTGGTCTGACCGAGCTAAGGTACACATTAAATAATTTAAAAGAGCAGAGTATTTATAGACTTGATCCTTAAGCATTCCTAGTACAGTTTAGATACAGTGGAAACTACAAGAGAAATACATAGGAAACACACAGAGGAACCTTTCTTTTCAATATTGTTCAGCAAAACCGGTATGTTCAGCAAAAACTTGAAGCGAAGTACTCATATGTGAGAGAAATGGAGAGAGTTTCTGAAAATTACTAAAATAATAATTTTTAAAATTATTTGACAATTTAATTTCATTGGATTTAGAAAGACCAAATATTATGATCTATAGAATTGGAGAATAAGACTTATTTTAGCTTAAATGAGATAATCCAGTTAAAGGTCTTAGTCATTCAACAGTAGATATTTATTAAATAACTGCTATATGATCAGTAAGTGGGAATTAATGAATGATTAATTGATTAATTTAACCTTAAAACCCTGAAATGGAACTAAATCTTGAATTTTTGTGGAGGTTGGTCCAAATGTTAGTATGAGATGTTCCCTTAATAGTGCATTCAATTTTTTTAAAATATATTTTTATTGATTTGAGAGAGGAAGGGAGAGCGAGAGAGAGAAAGAAACATCAGTGATGAGAGAATAATTGATCGGCTGCCTCATGCACGCCCCCCACTGGGGATTGAACCCGCAACCCAGGCATGTGCCCTGATCAAGAATGGAACCGTGACCTCCTAGTTCATAGATCAATGCTCAACCACTGAGCCACACCAGCTGGGCAATGCATTCATTTTTAAAAATAGATTTTTCTCTGAATTTTAGTGAATTGACTTAGTAAGTGCTTTTATTTAGTTCTCCAATAATCTTGCTAATATGTTAGTTTCACAAAAATCTTGAAACCTTAGCAAAGTCCTATTTGACTAAATTGTAGGGGTAGATATCTATTGGGTTATAGCATTTTAGTATTGGAAGGAGGTCTTAGAGATCAGTCTTAACTCCCCTCATTTTGTAACTAAAAAAAGATGGCACCCTAACCGGTTTGGCTCAGTGGATAGAGCGTCGGCCTGCGGACTCAAGGGTCACAGGTTTGATTCCTGTCAAGGGCATGTACCTTGGTTGCGGGAACATCCCCAGTGGGGAATGTGCAAGAGGCAGCTGATCGATGTTTCTCTCTCATCGATGTTTCTAACTCCCTATCCCTCTCTCTTCCTCTCTGTAAAAAATAAAATATATTAAAAAAAAAAAAAGATGGCAACCTAGATAAATGGGAGCCTGCCTAATATCTCACAGCAAGTCAATAGTATCAGGAGTAAACTGTTCTCTTCTGCGATTGCTGTTTAAGAAATACAAGTCCTTCCTTAAATTACCTTTGATAAAAATAATCATTTCACCCTCAGCATAGTAGATATAATTTAAATAAATAAATAATCTACAACTTTCAGCTAGAGAAACATATGATGATTGATGAAAGTGCACTGACGGAGACATTGATACTGTGGTTTAGTCTTGGGTAGCCATCAGTGGACTTGACAGTGGGCACCCTGATACTCTGAGCTTCCGTTTACTCTCATTTTTGACATCTTTAAAGTGCTGGGTTTAATCTAGGTGATATTTAAGATTCTGTTGAACTATAATACACAATGATTGTATGAAATATATAAATATATTGAGGATAAGGAAGGCCTATACAAATTATTTAACTTGCACAAATCAACTTTTTCATTTAATGGAATTTATGTACTGATACCTCATTTCGAAACTTCGTTTTAAATTACTTTGTAGAAATTATTTTAATATGTACAAAGTGAACTTTCATTTCATATGAAATAAAATTTGTGTACTTATATCTCACTTTGAAATTGCACTTTAAATCAGTTTTATTTGAAACATTTTCTCAAAGGTATTTGTTTCCATACAACAAACATTGGTTGAGTACTTATTTAGGTACAATAGTGACTCTAAGAAAAATAAATATAAGATATTCAGGAAACATTCCCTAAACTATGGAATGACAATTTTTTTATTCTTTTCATTATTAAATCTTTAAAAATGAAAGTCACAGATCATCTCATTGTCTTAACTACAATAGCTGTTTCTTTGTTCATATGTTTAATCACAATAAATTACTTTTTTAAATTCTATTTTGTTATATAATGTAATCCAAATATTTACATCAATATTTGAGTACCTGCATATAACCAAAAGGCATACCAAATATTTTTGTTCTTGTGCTGACTTGCTGTGTATTGTAGTTGTAGCTGTTGCTTCTATAATTTAATAGATAGGGATTGTTGCTATTTCCCAAAATTTAGGTTACTCTAATTTGCATTTATTGAAAGTGTTTTATATTTGTTTGAACTTACATTCTCTTGGGTGAATTTTGTCTTTATATATATATTTTTTAATGTATTTTATTGATTTTTCACAGAGAGGAAGGGTGAGGGACAGAGAGTTAGAAACATCGATGAGAGAGATCAATCAGCTGCCTTCTGCACACCCCCCCAGTGGGGATGTGCCCCCAACCAAGGTACATGCCCTTGACCGGAATCGAACCTGGGACCCTTCAGTCCACAGGCCGACGCTCTATCCACTGAGCCAAACTGGTTCAGCGTCTTTATATTTTTAATTTATCTTTATTGGTCTGGTGTTTGAAATAGATTTAAATAACTTGCCCAAGTTTTCTAATTTCCCAGTGATTTGTCTTTCTCCTTACTTACACTTCTACTAATGGTTAAGATAGATCCTTTGTCCTTATTTATTATTTATACCAGAGGAAAATATTATACCAGAGGGATCACTTTTGTAAGAAATGTATCATGTTGTGTTAGCATAATTAGTCACAGGTAACATTTTTTATCTCATAATAAGCAAATATGGGAATATTAAAAAGCAACTATCTGAGACCAATGGCAGGGGTGACCTTCATAGTCCCAAATTACCCCTCTACCCCCTGGGTACCTCTTCTTTACCCCAAAAATATACATAATCATTTCTTGCTGTACTGTAATAGAGTTCTTGACTAGGTAGGAGCAATGGTGAGTATATAACTTTTCCCCTTGAGCCTCCTAAATATTATTACCAGACATTTTGGAAATCTTTTAACTTACTGAATATGAGTGTTTATATTCATTTTGAAAACTGACATTTTCTTTGAACATTTTCTTCCAACAGAGTCACACAGAGAAATTAGCAAAGGTCTACCAACCAAAACGTTCGGTCTTATCTTCTAAAAGTACTATTTCTGTTGCTCACCTTTTGGCTGCAAGACAAGACTTGTCAAAGATTCTAAGGACAAGCAGTGGTTCTATAAGAGAAAAGTCTGCCTGTGCCATCAATAAGGTAATTAGAGTACCTTTATCTTTTTTTCCAATACAGGTATTTCTGTTTACAAAATAAAATGGTTTAAAATGCCTTTCTTCTCCTGCAGGTGTTGATGGGCAGGGTGCCTGACAGAGGCGGTAGACCCAATGAAATTGAGCCTCCGCCCCCAGAGATGCCACCATGGCAGAAAAGGCAGGATGGCCCCCAGCAGCAAGCAGGAGGCCGAGGCGGAGGGAGAGGTGGTTATGAACATTCCTCATACGGAGGACGAGGAGGTCATGAACAAGGAGGGAGAGGTGGACGTGGTGGCTATGACCGTGGAGGCTACGACCGTGGTGGCTACGACCACGGTGGCCGAGGGGGAGGAAGAGGAAATAAGCATCAAGGAGGCTGGACAGATGGAGGGAGTGGAGGAGGAGGTGGCTACCAAGATGGTGGTTATCGAGATTCGGGCTTCCAACCAGGTGGCTACCATGGTGGCCACGGTGGTGGCTATCAAGGTGGTGGTTATAGTGGCTTCCAAACAACTACTTACACAGCAAGTGGATACCAGGGTGGTGGATACCAGCAGGACAATAGATACCAAGATGGTGGGCACCATGGTGATCGAGGCAGTGGTCGTGGAGGGAGAGGTGGGCGTGGAGGCCGAGGCGGACGCGGAGGCCAGGGAGGTGGTTGGGGAGGGAGGGGGAGCCAGAATTATCACCAAGGGGGACAGTTTGAACAGCACTTCCAGCACGGTGGTTATCAGTATAATCACTCTGGATTTGGACAAGGAAGACATTACACTAGTTGAGGCTACAGAACCTTACATTTTGCTAGAGCTCAAGTAATAGAAACTTAGTTTAAGAATCCTGAGTCCAGTGTGGATTTTGAATGTGAGACCACAGGTGGCAGAATCCAATTCTGTTGGATTTTTTTTTTAATGGGCTTACATAATGCTGTTTATTTGAGAAACACGTACAACATCGCTCCTTTGTATGAAGAATTTTTTTAAAGGTAATTAAAATTGCCTTTAATTGACCAGTAGACTAATTCCACAGTCAACATGCATACTTTTTTGAAGAAATTACTTGAATAAGTAGTTTTCAATATACAGTTTTGAAAATGAGGATTCTCCTAGATTTTTTTAGATTTACAACTAGGAAGCCTTCCTCATATTAACAACCCATTTATATGTGTTTTCCTTATACTATTCTAATGTCTGTTTTGCAAGCACAGTTTCCACCCTGGTTGGCTTTTTATTTGGAGAGGTTATGCCACATTTGCTTCCTGATAGAACTTTTAGGTCAGTTCCTATTAACTGAGCTCTTCTGCAGATAGCACATTCAGTAGCCTTATCCTCTTGATGGAATATTATACCACAAGTGGAACTCAGAAAACCTTGAACGTGGCCAAAATCCGTCAAGATTATAAAAGCAGACTAAGTTGTGAGTCTATTGTACATGTAGGCATTTAGTGAAGTATAGCAATTCAAACTGACCTGCATTCATTCAAAACAAGTTCCTCCTTCAACCCTATTTTTACTTGAAATCTGCTAGAAGAAACAGCAAACTGAAATTTGTTTTATGCACGAGTTAATACCACTGGCTCAGCAAATACAATTTAGTTTGCTTTGAGCAGGAGACTTTTTTTTTGTAACGTTAAGAAATGCACTACAGAGAAAGAGGACAGATTTTTGCTTAGTGCAGGAGGCCCTTTATTATTGCTGCAGAAAACAAAAGCCTGGCTGAGCTGATGTTTTACATTCTCCTTTACTGAAACCTACACGACGCTTCTTGCTGGGTTTTTGTATACTTAAACATTGTCAAGCTGTGAAAGAAAATGGCTGGAGGTGTGCTTTGTGTGAAAGGTGAGCAATAAAGTATCTGTACGTTCTCTCTGGTGTTTGAGTTTTATTTTAGCTACTTTTTAAAAGGAATTATTCTGCGTAATTGCTTCAAGCTTATGAACTAAGGCCTATGTTCGCCACCCTTCTCCAACCCCCCATCCCCACCCACACCCCCACACCGGGAGATTGCTGAATGTTCTCTTAAAACAATTTGTAGTGAAAGATAATGTTTACCCTAGAACCTTAAATAAATTGAAAAGGCTGTTTCCAAATTTACCTTTTACCGTGTTATAGCTAGAAAATGTCATTACTCATATGTGGCCACTGGGTGTAGCTGTTGCTACACAGTGTATTAGGCACAGGTAAATTATGGCCCCATCTTTTAGGGATTTTGTTTTATGTGCTCCATTCTTCCTAATAATGAGGAACATTTTTCTTAAAAGGAAGAGATTGAAAATATAAATATGTTTGTAAAAAAGAGAAATAGTATTTCCTGTTTCTACTAAATTGGTTTTTTAGAGTAAGGAATCAACTTGTCTTGCCATTAAAAATATCCTATTTGCTGTTGAGATAAGCACATTGCTTTGATAACTAAACATTTTTGAAAGTCTCCCTTGATCTTTTTGTTAACTTTACCTGTTCGTTAGATTTTTTGGCTACCTAAGTTCTGTCTTAAAAGTTTTAAGTTTTGGTCTCTGCTGTTATAATACTTAGTATAATTATGAGTTTTTTAAAATATATTTTCATTGATTTCAGAGAGGAAGGGAGAGAGAGAGAAACATCAATGATGAGAATCATTGATCGGCTGCCTCCTGCACGCCCCCTACTAGGGATCAAACCTGCAACCTGGGCATGTGCCCTCGACCAGAATCAAACCCAGGAACCTTCAGTCTGCAGGCCAGTGCTCTATCCACTGAGCCAAACTGGCTAGGGCAGGAGTTTCTTATTAAAAATAAGATTGTCATGGTTTCATATCTTAAAATATTACATTTAGTAATCTGTTTTACCTAGCCTCAGAATATACCTAGTGACTATGCTGCATTCTTTTGACATATCATTTCATTTTTATGTTTAATAGATTGCTCTTCAAATATGAGCATATTAGAAAGTAAATGACACATTTCTCCATGATGATTCTAAAATTTTCATTTTCTGCTTCAAACTAGAATTTTTTCACATTATGAAACTATAAAAATGGTCTTTTAGTTTCTCATTGATGTAGATTACATTATCTAGAAATAGGATATTTCAAACCACCAGTTGGGTTATATTAAAATAATAAAGTTACTAGATTTCTTAATAGAGCAAGTCTGTTGATCTTACATTCTTAACCTTAACTTGTAGTAAATAATAGGGTATGTGGGAATTCTGTGGAGAAACAAAAATTAGGAGGAAATTTTTGATCTGAAATTTCAAAATATTGTCTCTTAGAGACAAACAGTACCTTTTGTTAGTGCTTTGTTTCCTCCCTATTCCAGAAACTAGAACAGGATGTCAACACTATGAAAATTGTCAAAGATGGGGCCCTGTCATGTTCATTTCTTGCTCTAGATCCAAAAATTGAGCTAGTGTCCAACTGTGGGCACAGAATAAAGTATATTCCTGCTGAGGGAAAGAAAGCATTTGAAGTCATTTCTCTATATGTACTTAACTATTTTCCCACTCCCTAATTCACTTATACATAACTAGAGGCCCAGTGCACAAAATTTGCACAGTGTGGGGGGGGGGGGGGAGTCCCTCAGCCCAACCTGTGCCCTCTGCAGTCCAGGAGCCCTCAGAGGATATCTGACAGCAGTCGGACATCCTTAGCGCTACTGCAGAGGCAGGAGAGGCTCTCACCACCGCTGTTGCACTGGCCAGCCACAAACCTGGCTTCTGGCTGAGCAGCACTCCCCCTGTGGGAGCACACTGAACATCAGGGGGCAGCTCCTGCGTTGAGCGTCTGTCCCCTGGTGGTCAGTGTGTCATAGCGACCACCGTTTGGTTGATTTGCATATTAGCTTTTTATTATATAGCGTGTTATACTTAGATGTTTATTTTATTTTTTTTAGGTTTTCTGGATACTTTGCCTTTTGAAAATTTAGGTTTAGCTAAACACAAAATACAGTTATATAAAACTTTTCCTGGTGCTTGTCTTTTTCTCTTGTTCTTCACTAATGTGATTCTAATCACTAAAAATGTTCCTTTTGTTGTTCAGCACTGCATTTCCACATTTCAAGAATGACTGATGGAAGCGGGCATGCACGCCAGTGTTTGGACTCACTTATTCACCTTTAAGTTGCCTGCAAAATCATGTTGATAAAAAGCGTTGCATAAACATAACTGTTGGCATGAGAACTTCCACAGTAAATCACTGTCCACTACGTATCAATGAAATAGTTTGGAATTGGAGGGAAATTCTCAAAAGAAAAAAAATATTATAATGACCAGTATGTGTTAAATTGTTACACTTTCTTCAAGAAGAAAAAGGCCTGCAGTTCAGTTCAATAAACTCTTGGGTGCCTGCCATAGTCCAGGCATTGTGGTGGGCATTTGAAGCACAAAGATAAATGAGGAAGTCCCTGCCTTGGGAAATGTCTAGTAGCAGATGCAGAAACAGAGCTTCTAGTATACTATGGTTTTTAAAATGAAAGATGGCAGAGTATTACAATGGCACAGTCTTCAGTATTGCTGGCATGAGGTGAGGTGGAAATTGGCAGGAAAAGTTGGAAAGGGTGCAGGTGCCAGGTAATAGAGGGCTCTACATACCTTTCTAAATTTAGTGTTACTTGGACCTAGTTTATGGACCTTAGTATGCCAAGGCATGGATAATGGATTCTGTATAAATCATTGGCTAAAGCAGCGGTTCTCAACCTGTGGGTCGCGACCCCTTTGGGGGTCAAACGACCCTTTCATAGGGGTCGCCTAAGGCCATCGGAAAACACATATATAATTACATATTGTTTTTGTGATTAATCACTATGCTTTAATTATGTTCAATTTGTAACAATGAAATTGGGGGTCACCACAACATGAGGAACTGTATTAAAGGGTCACAGCATTAGGAAGGTTGAGAACTACTGGCAAAGATTTGAATGGCAAACACAGAGCTCAAACCAATGTATAATAGGGATGGAGAAGGGACAAATTCAGGAAATAACAGGTAAGACCACTGCACTTATTAATTGGCATAAGAATAAGAAATTTAGTATGACTCCGGGTTTCTTTGTTTTGTAATTGGGTGGCAATAACGTTAATTGTAACCAAATTTAGGAGAAGGGGGAGAGGTACAGGGGGACTGAATGATTACAACCTATTAAAAATTATTTTTATCTAGCAATCAGTATCAATGCTATTTTTGAATGAGGCAATTACAAGATGACTGAGATCAGATTTTCTTGGAGAAAGGTATGAAAAGTACTATCAAGTCTTCTGAGCAGATACTTTTACTCCCAGTTGTACATAGCTCCCAGCACTTAATTAAGGCCTTCGCTAATACCATCTCTAAGGTCTCTGTCTCCTAAGGCCTTAGGCGCTTCAGAATCCTTTATCTCAACAGAGACCAGTTCACGTGGGATAGAAGACCAGTCATAAGTCAGCTACACTCATGTGGGACTACAGAGAAATCGGTTTCATTCTAACTTATTCTCAATTATCAGAAACTAATGAAAAAAAAATCAAATAAAACAAATAAAAAGTTAATCCCAACCTAAAAGATGAGTGAAAGCTATTTTAGTACATATGCATTTTTAATATACTGGAGGCCCGGTACATGAAATTCATGCACAGGTGGGGTCCCTAGCCTTCCCTGCTGCCCACATCCACTGCTACCCACCCCCGGTTACCCATCCCAGCCCCGGGGGCCCAGCCCTGATTGGGCGATCAGGGCCTGCAGGCTGGGGGCAGCTCCTGCATTGAGTGCCCGTCGATCAGGACCTGCAGGCTGGGGGCAGCTCCTGCATTGAGTGCCCGTCATAGCGACCGTTCGTTCCGGTCGTTCTGTCATAATGGTTGCTTAGGCTTTTATATATCTATATCTATATAGATATATAGATATATATAGATATTTTATTGATTTCAGAGATGAAGGGAGATAGAAACATCAATAATGAGAGAGAATCACCAATCAGCACACCCCACCCTGGGGATCGAGTCTGCAACCCAGGCATGTGCTCTGACAAGGAATCAAATTGTGACCTCCTGGTTCAAAGGTCAACGCTCAACCACTGAGCCATGCCAGCTGGGCTTAGTATCTTATTTACCATCTGATGAAATATAATGGTTTTAAGTCTTGTGAAACTGTTCTCTATCAATTTAACTTCTTACCCAGATATTTTAGTGCTTACTATGGAAAACAAAGGAATAGCGTGTTTTCCCTAGAGCAGTGGTGGGCAAACTCATTAGTCAACAGAGCCAAATATCAACAGTACAACGACTGAAATTTCTTTTGAGAGCCAGATTTTTTTAACTTAAACTATATAGGTAGGTACAGTGTTATTAACTTAATTAGGGTACTCCTGAGGCTTAGGAAGAGCCACACTCAAGGAGCCAAAGAGCCGCATGTGGCTCGAGAGCCACAGTTTGCCGACCACGGCAGAGGAACTCACTCTGTAACAAATACTAAGGATTCATTGAGAACACCAGGAGGCAGGTGACCAGGACTCAGAACTTGGGAGCACGAGCTATGTGACCTTGAGCAAGTTATTTAGCCTAGCTAAACCATCATCTTCCAACTGTAAAACGTGGGTAGTAATTCCCACCTTCATAGAGTAGCTGTACAGATCAAGTGTGATGATCTGTAAATGCCTACCACAATGTATGATACAAAATATGCACTCACTGTTTAGTTACTGTCAGTACAGAGGTAATTACTACTCAGGAATACCTTAAACACAATCTTAGGGAGAGTCTCTCACTTCCCTTCCTGACTCGTTAGGAACAAATGTTGCAAAGTGCATAGGATTCAGTCCGTACAACTTCAAAACAGCCTAAAATATCCCGATTGCCCCACAATACAGAAGTGACGATGGACAATGTTATGCATCCTTTTGCTTTTAAATTCCAGGGT